GTAGAAAGAATGACGATTCGTTTTTGTGAGCAATACTATAACGATATTGTAATGTATATATATAGTGCTTTAAATTAAGAGACAATTTAATTATTCAGATTATNTTTAGTTTAATTGTTATTATTTATCTTTTGCCTAAAAAAAACATTTTCTTGTATATGCCCAAACGATTAACACCATTATTGATGCAAAGAATAATCGCTTACGGCCATACCACGTTGAATACACCAGTTCTCGTCCGATCACTGAAGTTAAGCAACGTCGGGCTCGGTTAGTACTTGGATGGGTGACCGCCTGGGAATACCGAGTGTCGTAAGCTTTTTTTGTTTTTAATTAACAAAATACATCTTCGTCATCATTTTATTAGTTGTTTCTACGTCAAAAAAGCACAACTACTTGCGTATTTTTTGAAGCTCTAACTAATAATGTACCAAATACATACGTATTTATTATCAAGTTTCGTTTAATTGGTGTGTTGTTTTGATTTGAAGAAATACAAAAAAATTTAACAAAAAAAAAGACACTCAATGGGCTCGATCATTAATTCTGACAAATTTGTACAAAAAAACCGATCCAGTCACTAATGTTAATAAACCAATCAAAAAATGGCGACGATATTTTGTCATAAGATTTGTTAAGATCGATGAATTATTATTATTATCATTATTATTAACTAATGATGATGATAAACTAGATGGTTTTTCATCTAATTTTGCTTTAATATCATCGATTTTTTTCTTAATGCCTTCATTACGTTTTAAACGTTCTTCACGAAGACGAAGAGAAGTTTCAGCATCATTTCTAAATCACCAGAAACGAAAAAAAGAATAGTTATTCATTGAAAACTCATCAATATCTATTCATACGTAAGTTGTACTGAATGAGAATTATTTGTACTTGATTTGACACGTTTTTTCAATTCATAGTTAATATTTTCAAGACTTCTACTTAATTTGGAATCATCTTCATTGTCACTTTCAGTTGATCCATCAAAATCACTTTCATCAAATAAATCTTCACTTTGTTCAAGTTCATCGAGTTCTTTTAAACCAGCAACAATTGCCATATAAGAAAATCTAAATTATTAATTTGAATTCATTTTTTTTTATATATTTATTTATTTTATATTATTACCTTAATTGTTCAGCTGTTTGAATAAGCCCATGACGTTGTGTTCGAATATGAGCAAGAATTTCAATTAATGATATATCACTCGGATCATCTGTATGAGAAAGCTGATACAAAAAATAAAACGAATCAAAATTAAATAGAGTTAAAGAAAATTTTTATTAATATAACCATTTTTAATATTGAATCAACAAGAACAAATGTGCCTGATCGTCCAATACCTGAAGATGAAGAAAAAATTGTTTTCGAAAAATAAAAGAAACCGATTATTTCCTATTACTTTACCAGCACTACAATGAAGAATTGGTGCACCAAAACGAGAATCAAAAGCACCACAATGACGAACATCACATAATAATTGTAAGAATGGTTCAGGTGAACTTGGTGCACCATGATCCGGCCAATCAAAATCTGACCAATGAATTATTGGGCGAGCTTCACCTGTCTGACAACAACAAAAAAAAGAATTTTTATTTAAAATACACAAGAAACAAAGAATTTTAATTCATGGATGTTTACTAATAGATTTGTTAGTTCGAATCTGCGTTGAGTATAATGATCTTCTTGTCTTTCGGATACAAACGTAACTTTTAAATCAATTTCATCAAAATATAAGTCACTTTCATTTTCATAATCAGGATAATAAAGGCAACATTTATTCTAAATGAAAATATATTTAATTATATGATTATTATCAAATAATATGTTTTCAAACTTTTTCATTCGTTTTTATGCGTGTAAAAAATGAAAAATATATTATGAAATGAAATAGGAACTCATTTCAAGGTTTTAACGTTCCATTCAAGTATTGAAAGAACAAAAAGCAAATCAATGAATTCAGACTTTTGAATGTTGACATATGTGAAATCGTTTGAATTATAAATTCTTGTTTCTATCTTACATTCGACCATAATTATGGCCAGAACTACAGACGCAAAAATAACTACCATGAAATATAGTTTTCTTTTTATTTAACTCTGTTAGAGAAATTAAAAAATGTTTCTTTCTAATAATTATGAGCAGTGGTACTTTCTACCAGTCACATCTATAGAAAATCTTGAATGAATGAATAAACCGAGGATACTTTTAGACAATATAGCCGAGAACTAAAAAAAAGCATAATTATCATATCATCATTAGAGTCGCCGACAGATTCTTGATAGCCTGCCACAAACCATGTCAGTGAAAACTATTAAGAACATTACAAGCAAAATGTTTCCAGTCTAAGACATATGATTACAAAAAATGTCTGCTAATAGGAAATGCATCATTCGTTTACAAACTAAATTTGGAACTTTTCTGATACCTAAATTATTGCATGGGTACTATTGGTTTGTAACCACGAATGAAATACATGATTGAAGAAGTATGAGCTAACTAAATGTAAATCATCTAGGGGTCTGATAGCATAGCATTCGTACAATTGTCGAACAGTAACATATAGTAATTATCATAGATCTTGATACTGCTAATTGTTCCATTTTTATTTTAATCAACAAAACATTTGCTTTTCTATTATCTAAATCAAATTTTAAATACTTACACATCCTTTTTCAACTAAATGAGTTAACATAACAATAACACGACTATTTTGTTCCCAGACCATTTGCCAAAAATGTTCGGATGTTGTTGGAAGTGGACCCTTTTGTTTAAATAAAATAAATATTAATGAAAAGAAATACAGTAGAATATTTTACTTGTGTAAGAATATAAGTTCGATTCGCCCAAGGTACTTGAACATAATTTGCATTGATATAATCATTTGAACCTCGTTGTAAACGTACACGAGTATCATCATCTAAAAAGAATATAAGAATTAATTAAAAGAATTTCAAGTTTAATAAAGAATTCTTACAAGGTAAAACATCACGAAATCGATTTAATCCTCGATTCATACTTAATAATGCAATATCATTTTTTTTCTCTAAAGTTCGAACACCATGATCATTTGCAAGTTTCTAAAAGAAGAAATTTAAATTTATTCATAAATATTAAAAAGAAAAAAAAAGACTAACACGAAATAATGTATTCCAACCATTTTCACGTTCAATTTTCTGAAATTCTTCTTCAATATGTGCCATTTTTTATCTAGAAATCAGAGAAAATATTTTACTAATTGATAAATTCTTTTTCACAGTCAGATATTTATCTTCCATTTACATTTTAATAATTGATTTTTCTAAACATACTTAACATTCTATTATTCTACAAACAAAACAAAAAAAGTTTCTTTTTTCTAATACATCATTTATTCTTCAATTGTCATAAGCATCAAATCACCTCCTTTAATATACAAGAAAGTCTCCTTTACTGTACACGATATTATAAATAATGATGAATTAATAAATCAATGGATTGCAGCATAACGCTTGTATATGTTTAATAGTCTTTTGGTCCAAAAATGCTGTTGCGTAACATCCAACATTAACAATATATATATATAAATCAATGTAATTTTTAGTATATAATCGCACAATGAATCAAATATATTATAAATTTATAAGTGCTCTTCTTATAACGTTACGTATTCTCACTATCAATCAATTGATGAATAAATGAAAAGTTTAATGGATAAACTTTTGACATTGATATATTTAAAATTCTAGAGAATGTTCCGTTATTATTTGATGATTATGCATCTAATAGAGATTATTTTCTTTTTCTACTCATAGTTTTAAAGTACGAAAACTTTCTTTAGTATATTCCTTAATATATTGTCTCAAGTAATTCTTATGTCCCTCTTGTAATCTGTCAAGATCTTGAATAGATGATTAATTTCAATCATAAGTTATACATTACAAAATAAAGAATAGCTCACTAGAAAATAACTGATTAATAAATAATAAATTATTTTAAAAAAACTATTATAAATATTCCATTGCAAATATTGTTCTGCTTTGTATGAAAATATTATCATGTTTATATTCATAAAATCTATTGTCAATATTTCTAATTTTTTTTGTCACATAGTCGAGCAATTTTCTCTTTATATATGTTCTCGGTGAATCTTAAATTAAACCATTGTCGCTTATCAACATTATTCTACATAATTAATTGGATAATGTATGATCAATAAATCTTCTAAAGCTAGTTAGTTTCAGAGATCATCGCTAAATCACAATTAACTAAAGATAATCATGAATAATAATTTTGTTTTTTTGTTAATCCCTACATTCCTATTCCTACCTTATATACAGAATTGCTTCCGTCTAAATAAATAGTAAAACATTTTTCTTTTTTCAAGTGAAAATCCTCTCAAAAAGTAAAAATAAAAACTTACTGTTCTTAATCAGTCATCATCGACACAAGCATCCGTTTTTAATAACTCTGAAAGAAAAACAGTTTTCTACAATGACTCACATTTTTTATTATTTTTTTCGTTCTTCCTTCTCCTGAACACACATACACACACAAAGGTTCAGACAACAGAAAACAAAACAAAAAAGAAATTGAGTATCATTTATATGTGTGTATGTTGAAAGTAAACGATCAAAAGAATGAAATGTTCACTGTATGCTTATATAACGGATAAATATGTATATATGTATATATATATATATGAATAAATAATAACCTGTCCTGTGTATTTGAGAAAAATTATATACAATAAAATCAGAAAAAGAAAATCTCCTGTCTTTAATTGTTTATAGTTCTACTCAACAATGTACTACACAAAAAAGAAACATTTATTTTATCGATCTAAGTAAAAGAAGAGAATGTGTAAGTAAGCGTGAATTTTTTTCTTCATAAAAAGAGACGAACAACAACGGAGAAAAGAGAAAAAGAAAAGATACAACATCAATGCATGAACACACAGATGCGCACGAAAAATCGAAACTAATGCAGTTGATTTATTGTCATATAAAAGTGTCTTAACAGCATCCACCTCTTTCATTTGAATTAACATTTGGACGATTAGTTCCAGGTGCTGAATTAATATTCTGAGGGCCAATTTTAATACCATTAACCTTAAAAAAAAAAGCAAAGCCAAATTCTAACGAATTAAACTCTAATTTAATTTTTACTTCATTTGTTGGATCAAAAACACCTTCTTGAATTTTAGTATAAATTTCACGAGCTGTATTAATGAATGCCTAAAACAAAACAGAAAATAAAAAATTTATTCTATATCTAAATAAAAATCAAACCTCTTCAACATTTGCTGCTGTTTTAGCTGACGTTTCCATGAATATTAATCCATGTTCTCGTGCAAATGCTTCACCTTCTTCTTTTTGTACTTCACGTCGAGCAAAAAGATCACTAGAAAAGAAAATATATTCTGAATAAACCTTCCCTAATTCTATTTCCTGTGCCCCCCCCCCCCCCTCTCCCAATTACCAGAAAAAAAGAACACGAGAAACGAATAAGCTTACCATTTATTGCCAATAAGCATAATAACCATATTTGAATTTGAATGTTGTCGTGCATCTTCCAGCCAACTGGTTAAATGATTAAATGTATGACGCCTAATTTTAAAATAGAATAATTTATTTAACATAAAAATAGATCGTTTCAACTTTTACTGTGTTATATCATAAACGAGTAGAGCACCAGCTGCACCACGATAGTATGAACGAGTTATTGAACGAAAACTTTCTTGTCCAGCCTAAGAAAAATGCGGGTTTTTTTTTTTCATTTTTTTTTGATAAAAACTAAACTGTATCCCAAATCTGTAGTTTTATTTGTTTTCCATCAATTGTTATCATGCGTGCTCCGAATTCAACACCTAATTAAATTATATGTCAGTCAAATATAATTTATTATCAATTTATCATACCAATTGTTAGATCATGTACAGGTTGAAATCGTTTATCGGTAAATTGAAGTAATAAACAAGATTTACCAACACCTTAAATAGTGAAAGAAAAACAATAATAATCACTATATGATTTGATTTATAACCAGACCCGTATCGCCAATAATAATATATTTAAAAAGATACGCATAAGCCATTATGTGTAATCAAAATTTTCAATTTTTTTTGTGTTGGTTGAATTGTAAATAAAGAATCTAGAATAAATGAAAACATAAATGTTTATATCAATGATGATTCATGATAGAATTTCGAATGAAACATCAGCTGCTTTGCAACGTCACCATCTTGAATACTTGTGATCGAGTGACTTCGAGAATGGAAAATATTATATCATCCATTTATATTTTTTGTTTAGTTACTGACATCTATTTTTGGCTTATGGAGGACTATGACAATTTATCGATTGGAATTAGTTAAACAAGCAATCGAAATTTACTCATCAATTTCGATAGTTTTTTCTCGATTAAGTTAGATTATCATGTGTCGGTATTTCGAAATTTGAGCGAAGTTTTTGTTTTGGTCTCTTTTTGTTGAAGCTCGTCGAGTTATCTATGGATATGTTGCTTTTGACATGTTCAGACGATGGTTTTGTAGTGAAGCGTAGAAAAATTCGATTGTAAAATATGAGAAAAGCCTATACAAAATGACATACGCCAAGCCCGTGAAGTTTCGATAGCGTCACTATTTATCCGAATTCGGTTTTTGCTTTTATTCATCATATATTTATTTTAAAAAAGTCATAAAAATGACTTTGTATTTAGAGATTTGCACAAGTAGAGCTTCAGTTCCGAAAGAAACGAATATCATATTCAGAATTAGCACAAAACTGCATCGAATAATATTTTTAATATTCAAAACTAATCTCGTCTCATTTCAATCCTTACAATCTTCACTGTTATTTTCGAATACTCTGAGACTTGTGTTTCTCGTAAGAACAAAAATTTGATGAAAATTGGTTTTGAGTAGGAACTACTATTCGATACAGTTTTTTCTGCTGATTCTGAGTATGATATTCATTGATTTTGGCACTGTAATTATGATTGTCGAAACCTCTGAAAAACGAAATCAATTTTATTGTTTTTCTCCCTGACTGTATGATGAGTAAAATCAGAACTTCGAATAAATATTGGCGCTACCAAGATCCCATACATTTGATGTATTTCAATTTTTATAGGTAACTTGATAAGTTTAATTTAATCATGACACAAAAAAAATGTAGCTCAAATTTCAAATTACTGTCACTTTAATTATTTAAGAGAAAGTTGATTATAATATCTGTCACTAATTTGCAAGACTTTAATCTGAAAAATTCATTTGAAAAGAAAATATTTTTGTTTTCTCATTAAAGATGGTTCTTACAAAACAATATGATCGTCATGCTCCTGAAAAAGTCTTTGGTATTATCGGAAGTGGTAATGCAAACAATATTGCTCTATTACCATCAACTACAAAATTAAATTCACGTCGTATATTTGTTCCTGCATGTGAAAATGTTCTTTTATGGGATCTTAAAACTCATTCACAAGTATTCAGTTTTTTTTTCTTTATTTTTATTCTAAATTAATTAAATTTAAGATAAATACATTTGTCGATGAAACAACTTCATCAACAGTATCAAAGAAAAAAATTCGTGAAGAAGCAATTGTTGTTAGTGTTAGTCCAAATGGTAAACATTTAGCTGTTGGATATCAAAATGGAATTATTAAAATATTTTCTGTAACACAACATGAAACAACTGTGAATTTTCATGGACATAAATCAACAATAACCACATTAACATTTACACACGATTCAGCAACACTTATCTCAGGCTCTAAAGTATTAATAATAATAAAATAAATAAATAAACAATTTATTTTTTTTTTCATTTATAAGGATACAGATATTATTGCTTGGGATCTTATTACTGAAGCTGGTCTCTATCGTCTTCGTGGTCATAAAGCACCTGTAACGAAAGTTATTATTATGGCTAGTCAATCAGTACTTATTTCAAGGTAATGTACTATCGAAAGAAATAGTCATTTTATTTCATGTAGAAATATATTCTAGTTCCAAAGATATGACAATAAAATTCTGGGATATGACTATTCAGCATTGTTTTCATACAATTGTTACACATCGAACAGAGGTTTGTTTTTTTTTTTTGTTAATTTTATTTGAGTTTTTATTATCATTTTTTTTTAATATAGGTGTGGAGTATTGCTTTAGCACATGATCGATATTTAATTACCGGTTGTTCAGATAATGAATTACGTTTTTTTGCGTTACGATCTACAACAACAGTAATGAGTATCTTTTTTTTATAGATTATTGAAATTTTATTTCTGTTGTTTAGGATGAAGATGATAGTTTTATGTTTCCTCCCAAGAAAGATGAACAGACGAGCGAAGATCAGGTAAATATTTAGAATTTAGATTGAACCGAAAATGAACATAGATTTGAACCAATAATTATGGCAGTTCTTCGTTTTGAAAATTTATTTTATGATTGAATAGATAAATGTATTATATTTAGTAAGATATTATACACAAGAAATGTTTTGAGAAATAAAATTTGATATCAAATCTCAATGAAATATGATAAAACTGTTTTTATTGGCAAAGGAAGATGTTTTAGTATTATGTCTTAAGATTTCTATTAATGTAAATGTCCGATAAGGAGGAAAGAACAAAATCCTGGAATGCGCTAGAAGAACGAAATCTTAAGGAGTTTTTAGATGTATTCCAATTGTCGGATAATCTAGTTCTATATGTCTACAACTAATACAACATGTCTCATAACAGTTTGCACAGTTTCTTTATTCCGAAGTTCTTTTTGTTTTTTGAATCTTGAAGATGCAAGTTTAACTCTTTTAATGTATGTATTTTAGTCTATGAACTAGATATGTGCAACATGGTCCCGGTCCCAATGGGACTGAGACCGGGACTGTGACCAACTTTATTTTTTTGACCAGGACTGGAACCGGGACAAAAATTTTTTTTTGGTCGGGACCGGGACCAAATGTTTGTGACCGTGACTAGGTAGACACGTGCAACATGGTCCTGGTCCCGGTCCCAACGGGAATGGGATCGGGACTGGGACCAACTTTATTTTTTTCACCGGGACCGAGACTGGAACCGGGACCAAAATGTTTTTTTTTGTCGGACCGGGACGGGACCGGGACCAAAAACTATTGGTCCCGCTCATGTCTACTATGAACAGTAAACCACCGACAAAATAGAATGCAGCTCATAGATATTTAAAAAATCAAGAAATACTTACATGTAAAAGTTTTTTAAAATAGATCAATAGTGAAAGAAGTATTTTGGATAAAACCTCTCCTATGTAGACATACTTTTATGTACATAACACAGCGAAAGGAAAATAATTTCGAACGTAAATTCTCAAACAAATAGTTCAACATTTCTACATAAATGTCGTTACAGTATATATTCAGATATGCAACAACAATATACATTGTACTAGTGACTGAGAAAAGTGATCATCTATTAAATCATAGGTAGGAACGAGTTATGGGAGCAAGTAAAATTGATAAAACAAAATGATTTGCATATTTTCCAGTACTAAAACACGAATTATTTAACGATTTGGATAAGAGAATGTCAAAACTTAGTCAATAATAAAAATAATTCATTGATGCAATTATATAATTAGAACTTTGTTAGGATAAATCGATCTAAATTTGTTGATAGATAAACGACGAAATCTTCTATATTCCAATGTGTATAGTGGAGATAACACAATCATTTGAACTAAAATTTAGCAAAAAATAATTAACGAGCCATTGGTATATACATACGTCTATGACCACAAACGAATAAAAAAAAAAAGAGAAATCATTATGAAAAGCTGTTGCATTGCAAATTGGATCTTTTGATAGACTCTTGAGAAATAGTATATTGTCTAGTATGAGGAACGAGAGATTGAAGTCCCGTCGAAGATTGGATTGGTCCTCTCGAACTTTTGAATCATCACATCAAAAGAGAAAATCAAGATTCCAGAATTCTTCTATTTTCTGTTTGATGTCTTGTCATAAAGTAGAAATGTGAGTTTTAATGGAAAGCTGTGCGAATCTAAAAAGAAGCAAATGAAAAGTATTTTCGTCCTTACAGGGGTGTCCGTCAATCTTGCAAAATTTTCGTTTTTCTCTAGTAAAACCGACCGATCTTTGTTATTTTTTACTCATCAATCCTCGCAACAATGGATGCGACATCCTTACATATTATAGTTTCTGTTTTCATCATAGACTGAAAGACATATATTTGGATTATCATATAGTAAGATAAAATCTCATATATTGTGCTCCATTTGAAGCTCATCGATAGGTTTTTTCTTCTGTAGAAAGTACATAAAATGATTTTTCGGTTCGTTCTACTTTTTACATATGTGTTTTTTTTTAAAAGGTACCTCTTCAAGTTCAATCCATTGGTTCATTTGTTCGTAAAAGTAAACAACGTGTATCAAGTTTACATGTTGATAATGAAAGTCGCATACTTACTTGTTATGTAAGACAACTTTTTAATATAATTAATTCAATTGTTATTGAATTATATTTTTAGGGTGTTGAATCTTTTGGTGAATTTTTTCGTATATCAACTGTTGATGAAGTTCGTACACGTCTTCGAAAACGTTTATCAAAAGCACGAAAACGAAAAGAAAATGGTGATGAAAACAAGTATATAATTTCTATTTCTTAATCATGATGTTTATTATTATCCTCAAAAAACTAAGCGAAACTTTTTCTTTAGTGAAGAAGAAATTAAAATCGATTGGGATATATCATTAATATTTACATCATTATGTGAAATAAAATTCGATGGAAAAATTCGAGCTATGGATCTTTTTATGGATACAAATATCACATGCAAAGTAAAATTTGTTTTTTTTTTTGTTAAACCTATTTAAATAAATAAAGTTTATTTAGATAATTACGCTTACATTAAATAATAAAATTGACATACATTCATTAAATATTCAAGATAAAACTGTTGAAAAATTACCAGCTGTTGAAAAATCTGCTCATAGAACAGAAGTTCGATGTTTAGCATTTAGTTCAGATGATATGCTTATTGCTTCTGGTAGTGGAGAATCACTTAAAATTTGGAATAGGTTAGATTTTGTTTTGAATTTCTATCATGTTAAAATAAAAAAAAAAAAAAAAAAAAAAAAATTTTATTTAGACATAGTTGGGAATCTTTACGAACAATTCCTTTTGAT